ACCCTCCCCTGCTCATGCTGTCTCTCTCTCTCTCTCTCTCTCCTAGAAATAAATAAAACATTAAAAAAAAAAAAAAACAGACCAAGAGATCAATAGAACAGAATAGAGAGCCCAGAAATAAACCCATACTGTCAATTAATCTGTAACAAAGGAGGCAAGAATATACAATGGGGTGGAGGGCCTACGTTGCTCAATTTGTTAAGCATCTGACTCTTGATTTTGGCTCAGGTCATGATATCATGGTACCTGAGACTGAACCCTGCTTTGGGCTTTGTGCTGACAGGGCAGAGCCTGCTTGAGATTCTCTCTCTCCCTCCTTTCTCTCTCTCTCTCTCTCTCTCTCTCTCTCTCTCAATGGATAAATAAACATTAAAAAAATATATATCCAACAGAGGAAAAGATGGTCTCTTCAACAAATAGTGTTGAGAAAACGGGACAGCTACATGCATAAGGATAAAACTACACCACTTCCTCACACTGTATACAAAAATAAATTCAAAATGGATTAAAGACCAGGGCGCCTGGGTGGCTCAGATGGTTGAGCATTCAGCTCTTGATTTCAGCTCGTGTCATTATCCCAGGGTTGTGGGACCGAGCCCTGCATCAGGCTCTGCAGTGAGTGTGGAGCCCACTTGGGATTCTGTTTCCATCTGCCCCTCTCCTCCACTCTTGTGCTCACTCTCTGTCTCTAAAATTAAAAAAGAAAAAGAATTGAAAAAATGGTAAAGACCTAAATGTGAGAACTGTCACCATAAAATTCCTAGAAGGGAACATAGGCAATAATCTCTTTTGCATCTCCTGTAGAAGGATTTTTTTTTTAAATATGTCTCCTTTGGCAAGGGAAACGAAAGCAAAATTCACCTATTGGTACTCCACCAAAATAAAAAGCTTTTGCACAGCAAAGGAAGCCATCAACAAAGCAAAAAGATAACATACCAAATGGGAGAAGATATTTGCAAATAATATATTCAATAAAGGGTTAATAGCTGACAAAGTATGTAAAAAACTTCTACAACTCAACAAGATAAAAACAACCCAGTTAAAAAATAGGCAGAAGATATGTATAGACATCTTCCCAAAGAAGACATACAGCATCCAGATGGCCAACAGATACATGAAAAGATACTCAGCATCACTAATCATGAGGGAAATGCAAATCAAAACCACACTGATATGGATATGACCTCAGACCTATCCAAATAGCTAGAATCAAAACTAAGAAAAAACAATTATTGGCAAGGATGTGGAGGAAAAGGAAATCTCATATACTGTCAGTGGGAATATAAACTGGTGTAGCCACTATGGAATACAGAATGGACGTTTCTCAAAAAAATAAAAATAGAATTACCATGTGATCCAGTAATTCCTCTATTAGGTATTAACCCAAAGAAAACGAAAACACCATTTCAGAAAGATACAAGGATCCGTATATTCATTGCTGCATTATTTATAATAGCTAAGGTATGGAAACAACCTAAGTGTCCACCCATAGATGAATGAATAAAAACAATGTGTGTGTACACACACACACACACACACACACACACACAAAATGGAGCATTAGCCATTGAAAACAAATGAAATCTTGCCGTTTGCAACAATATGAATGGATCTAAGGACATAATGCTAAGTGAAATAAGTTAGAGAAAGACATACCATACGATTCACTCATGTGAAATTTAAGAAACAAAACAAATGAACAAAGAAAAAAGACACACAGAAAAACAGACTCTTAAATATAGAGGATAAACTTGTGGTTGCCAGCGGGAAAGTAGGGGGTGGGGTCAGTGAAATAGGTGATGGGGATTAAAGAATACGTTTATCATGATGAATAATGTATAGAATTGTTGAGTCATTATATTGTACACATGAAACTAACGCTGTATGTTAAACTTGAATTTAAAAATTAAAAAAAAATTTGGGGCGCCTGGGTGGCTTAGTCGGTTGAGCGTCCGACTTTCGCTTAGGTCATGATCTCCCGGTTCGTGGGTTCGAGCCCCGCGTCGGGCTCTGTGCTGACTGCCAGCTCAGAGCCTGGAGCCTGTTTCAGTCTGTGACTCCCTCTCTCTCTGACCCTCCCCTGCTCACGCTGTCTCACTCTCTCTCCTAGAAATAAATAAAAAATTAAAAAAAAAAAAAAATTAAAAAAAAATTTTTAAGAACTTTTAGGAGTGCCTGGATGACTCAGTGGGTTGAGCTCAGGTCATTATCTCACAGTTCATAAGTTCGAGCCCCACATTGGACTCTTTGCTATCAGCACAGAGCCCACCTCACATCCTCTGTCCCCCTGTCTCTGCCCCTCCCTCACTTGCAGTGTACTCTCTCTTTCTGTCTCACAAAAATAAATAAATATTTTAAAAAATAAAAGAAGGGTGCCTGGGTAGCTCAGTCGGTTAAGTATCTGACTTTGGCTCAGGTCATGATCTCATGGTTTGTGAGTTCAAGTCCTGCTTGGGGTGAGCTCGAGCCTGGCTTCAGGTGAACCCCTGTCCCCCTTTGGCTGAGTCCACAAGTCCCACTTTGGCTGAGCCCTGCTTCTCTCTCTCTCTCTCTTTCTCTCACTCACACACTCACACACACACACCCCTCACTTGCGCCCTCTAATTGAATGAATGAATGAATGAAAGAAATTTAAAGTAGACAATCCTAGGGGCGCCTGGGTGGCTTAGTCAGTTAAGAGTCCGACTTTCGCTTAGGTCATGATCTCGCGGTACGTGGGTTCGAGCCCCGCGTCAGGCTCTGTGCTGACTGCCAGCTCAGAGCCTGGAGCCTATCTCGGAGTCTGTATCTCCCTCTCTCTCTGACCCTCCCCTGCTCACGCTGTCTCTCTCTCTCCTTCCTAGAAATAAATAAAAATATTTAAAAAAAAAAAAAGGAAT